GCACCCAACCCACAGCACCCACCCTATGTGCCTCCTGCAGAAAGTCAACTGTGTGCAGTTCAACGAGGAGGCCACCATCATTGTGTCTGGTGAGGAGAGACCACCGCTGTCCCCCCATCCTGACATCTGCTGACCCCCCCCGGGGGTTCAGTCTGACCTTCCCCCCTCCTTTAGGCTCCATCGACTCCACAGTGCGCTGCTGGGACTGCCGCTCGCGCCGCCCCGACCCCGTGCAGGTGTTGGATGAGGCCAAGGATGGCATCTCCAGCCTGAAGCTGTCAGCCAGCGAAATCCTGACAGGGTGAGGGCAGGGGGGGACAGAAACCACAGGGGTGGGGACTGAGACCCCCCCGATGCTAAATCCCCCCTCCCCAAATCCCCACAGCTCTGTGGACGGCCGTGTGCGACGCTACGATCTGCGTGCAGGGCAGCTCTACTCTGACTACGTGGGGAGTGAGTGATGGGGAGGACGACTGGAGAGAGATTGGAAGACATAAAGCAATGGGGGCAAGGGGGGGGAACACCCAAAATCTCCCCCCACACTTCTTTCAGGCCCCATCACCAGCGTCTGCTTCAGCAAGGATGGGCAGTGCGTGCTGGCTGCTAGCCTGGATTCCACGCTGCGCCTGCTGGATAAGGAAACGGGCGAGATGCTGGGCGAGTGAGAGCTGGTGGGGGTCGTTGGGGGGGCTATGGGAGGGGTTGGGGGGCTACAGGAGGGATTGGAGTCACAGAAGACCCCTCCTGACCCCTCCCCACCCCGCAGGTACACCGGGCACCGCAGCACATCGTACCGCCTGGACTGCGTGCTGAGCGAGCAGGACACGCACGTGGGCAGCGCCTCCGAGGATGGCAACGTCTACTTCTGGGACCTGGTGGAGGTTAGCCCACCCCCACCCCCATACACCTCCCCTTGCCCCCCTACCTTGCCCCCCACCCCACATATTTCCCCCCCTGCCCCCTCCCCACAGGGCTCCCTGGCACTGACGCTGCCCGTGGGGCGTGGAGTGGTGCAGTCCATCGCCTTCCATCCCACCCTGCCCTGCCTGCTGGCTGCCACCGAGGGCTGCGTGCAGCTGTGGCGCGAGGACAGCTTTGAAGGGGACACCACAACCACGTGACAACTCGGGGGGGGGGGGGGGGGGGAGTCTCTGCCGTGCCCCCCAGCACCCCCAAAAATAAACCCTGCAGCTGGGAGACAGCGCAGTGCTTTATTGATGCCAAAATAAATAGAAGCGCAGGGATGGATAAATGGGTTGTGGGGATGGAGGGACAATACCAGAGCCCTGCCTGCCCCGGGGGGGGTGCTCAGCACCCCAGAGTGAGGGTTCTGACCCCCCCCCAGCTGTGGGCTCAGCCCCCCCAGGGGGTGTTACCCCCCCCCTTCCCACAGGCAGCTCAGTCCCCCTCTGTCGGCACTGGGAAGTCGGCCGCTCTCTGTGCAAACGTCTCCGCCACCAGCAGCGGAAAAACCAGCGAGGCATCAGCATAGACCTGCAGCAGGAGAGGGGTGAGAGACCCTCGTGTCCCCCCCCCCAGCCCCCCAAAAATGCCCCCCGTGCCCCCACCTTCACCGGTGTGGCATCCATTCGGATCTTCCCCCACGACACGGCCTCATCCGGCTGCGCCCCGGAGTCGGACCCATCAAACTCCTGTGCTGTGTTCACATAGACTGAGAAATCAGCGCCGTTCCTCTGTGGGGAGGGGGGGCAGAATGAGGGCAGAGGATCCCTATTGCCCCCCCCCCCCCCCCCCCCCCCCCCCCCCCCCCCCCCCCCCCCCC